AAAAAAAAAAACTGGGATAAGATTTTATTGACCCAGTTAAAGCACTAAACAAATTCTGTTAGTTCGACAAAGTCAAGATATGGTCATGAAGAAGTGTTTTTGCAATGTTATTTTGCAACAGTTTTGTGAATTCTTGTGTTAGTTTTTAGATCTTTTGGTTTGCTTGTGACTGGTTCACATTTCAGGGATTTTTCTAATGTTACCAGACTAATGTAAGAATGAAGAACTTCACTCAGCTAAAATGTTGAATTTTAAACAAAAGGAAACAAAAGGTTTTATTGGCAAAACAATGTTTAGTTTTATAGATATATGTAGCATAATTTTTACAAAGATTTTTGTATTCAGAAACAAAATGAGTGAGTTTTACAAGAAATAGTATAGTTTTAATATTGACACTTATTGTCTACTGCTGTGGAGGACTGAAACTGACAAAATTAGAAATAAAAGCAGTATTATATAAATTCACCAATAAATAAGTACAGTTAAAAAGCACCAATTAAATTAAAAGAACATTAACTCATATTTTATAACTTAATTGACCTTCATATTTTGTACAGCTTAGTTCAAATAAATTATATACATTCTCGCAATTCAATTTTTGTTTTTAAAATTTTTATAGTATGTGTTTTTCCTTTTACTTGTAAATGCATTTGAGTTGCTTAAATCTTTATTTTCATTTGTTTTCCCCCTCAAATCTTTTTATTTCCATGTGTTGCTTTTACATTCTTCTGTGTCCTGTTTATAAGTTACCTTATTCATTTATGCCTCATTATGCAAAGAAGGTGGGCGGTCCTCCTTGGTTCAGCTCTTCTATTGGTCAAAAGACAAAGGAGCAGGATCCATGTGTGGATCTACTGTGCATGCTTGTACTGCAACTGTTTGGCTTAAAGATTAGTTTAAAACAAAAGTACAGGTAAGTGTTTTCCTCCTTGCCTTTGTTTTAAACTAAAATTTAAACTTTAAGCTAAACTGAAGCAGCACAGTTGATCTGCTCATGGATCCTGCTCCTTCCAGTCTGACCAATAGGAGAGGAGCTGACCCAAGAAGGACTGCCCACCTCATTTGCATAATGAGGCAGAAATGTATAAGGGAAAGTAAAAACAGGAGACAAATGTAAAAACACATGGAAATAGATTTCTGACTAAAAATATATATATAAAATAAGTGTAATTAAAGAACTCAAACACATCTACAAATAAAAGGAACACCAAAAGCNAAACAGGACACAGAAGAATGTAAAAGCAACACATGGAAATAAAAAGATTTGAGGGGGAAAACAAATGAAAATAAAGATTTAAGCAACTCAAATGCATTTACAAGTAAAAGGAAAAACACATAATATAAAAATTTTAAAAACAAAAATTGAATTGCGAGAATATATATAATTTATTTGAACTAAGCTGTACAAAATATGAAGGTCAATTAAGCTATAAAATACGAGTTGATATTCTTTTAATTTAATTGGTGCTGCATTTGAGTTGCTTAAATCTTTATTTTCATTTGTTTTCCCCTCAAATCTTTTTATTTCCATGTGTTGCTTTTACATTTTTCTGTGTCCTGTTT